AAAGTGGAGAGTAAACTGTTTTCTCTCATATGCAGAAGCTAGAGAGAAAAAAGGAATAAATGAAAGGAAATCTCACAAAATAGAAGAAAGATCAGCAGAGTCGGGGATTGGGAGGGAAGGAGGACAGGAGGGAACGAACGGGGAAGAACTAGAGAATAAAATCAGCCAAATTATGGTATCTGCTTGTATGAATATACTACAATGAACTCCATGTTTATGCATAATTATAATGTACCTATATATATGTGTGTGTACATATACATGTATATGTAAATAAACATGAGGAAGAGGAAAGGAAAGGAGACAGGGAGGGTGAGGGAAGGAAGGGAGAGAAAAGGGTCAGTATGAAGAATTAATTGAAGCAAATTATGCTATGTATATATAGGAATAAGTCACAGTGAACCACACTGTTATGTATGATTGTAATACACTAATAGAAACATAAAATAACTGATTTTTATTGGTGATACCTGAAATGTCTCTGTTATGAAAACAGGTATACATCAAGTCAAAGTTCACGTCAAACCAAGGATATGATATAAACAGAGCTTACCTGGGTATATTTAAAAATACTATACACTGGAACTTGAGTTCCTGAATCTTTGGGGTGAGATCTGTTCCATCACACTGCAACAATGAAAACAGAAAAAGCAAGGGTTTGAAGCTGTCACAAGTCTAAGAAAATTTTCAAGATAACTGGGTTGACAACAATAGGCACCATGATCTTATTCCCCTTGTCTCTAATTCTGCTTAACTGGATGGCCAGTTACTATGATTGAAAATTTATACTTTTTTATAGCTTAACTAGACCCAGAGTTCAGAGCTGGGTTTCGTTTTGATTTAATATAAAACAAACCTGATATTTGACAAAAAAATAAACTGTGTCTGTTTTCACAATCACAGTAAATACTGTCCTTCTTAACCTTGGGTTATTTATTATTAGATACTTATATGCAGAGAATCAACGATGAAAGTCTTACCAGAATGAAAGGAATGAAGCTATAAATGAAGGCAGTAGCATTAACTACCACAACCATCTGATTCAAACAAGTTATTTGTTTTCTTTGAGATAATTTTTATGTTTAAAAGATTAAATGTAACATTTTGAACACTTTTTAAAAGATATGCATATTCAAGTTTTTAAAAAGATATCTATTATAAGTGAGGATAAGCTCCAACAGGCCATCTGATCCTTGCCACAGGGAAGTCAGTATTTTGAATGAAATAATTAATAACTCTCATGAATGTGAAATGAGTATGGGAATACTAGACCAAGAAAATATAAAACAGTAACAAGTGATTACTTTTTTAAATATTTAATCTGTAACAGAAGTGGACTGGACTTCTGAGAAGAAACTGCTTTGCTTTTGATTGACATGACTCTGGTCTCGAAGGCCCAGGCCAGCCTTGCTCAGAGCCTCTGTGTGCTTCCCTGATCTGTCAGTGCTTTCCCCAAAGAGTAGCATCCTCTGCCTAATCAAAGGAGATCCTTCCCTTTGCCTTTCTCATTTCCCACTAGTGACAAAGACCAAAAGACAAAAACTCCAGTCAGGGCTACAGACTCCTCAGTGGTCAGAGTCACAAAGTCTGCTTTTCTATTTGCTTTATTCATAGCTTCATCCCAGAATTTTCTTGTTATTGTTTTCTTTTGGGAAGAGGAGTAAAGCATTCCCAAAGTCCCTGATAATTTTTGAGGAGTTCTTTAGGCAAAGTTTTAAACTAAG